TTTCAGAAATATTGAGATTTTTATCATCAATCTCAAAGGGATTCATTTTCCTAGACAAAAAATTTTCGGTACGAATCTCTTCGAAACTAAATAATAATAATAAAAAGAAGAATAAGAATAATAATGTTATTATCATTATTATCATTAATAAATAATTAAGAGTGATAATGACAATAACGACAGCAATATATAATACTGATGCTATCAGTATTAGTGTTGATACTCATAAAATGAGTAGGCAAAAATACCGTGCTTAAATGAAATACAAGTATTGTTAGTAAGTACAGCACTTTTGCTGATTGTGGTTTGTGTTTTCACTATTGCTGGAATGAGGAAAATGATAAAAGTAAAAAAAAAAACATCTGACTTGTTTGTTTGGAGTGAATGATGGTAAAGGATAGATGAATAGATGGATGAATGATCCAGCATTCCTTTCGTTACTGTGTTACTTTGATTTCAGCAACATCCCGCTTATAACTCACTTCAGTTCAGCTAAGTTTACTTTAGCTCAAATCATTCACAGAAATGATTGTGTGTAGATAATCAAGTATCTTAAACAAACGCTAGAAAAAGCAATTCCAGTTGGGAAAAATATGAGCTACAATGCTCATAAATACGATTAAATATTTGCGATAATTCTCACTTTAACTTTTTATTGAAATAGTTGGAAAATCATTAAGTTGCATGAGGTTCATACACGTGTATGTGTGTATAAACAAATGAGTGAATAAATAATATATGTTTGTATGTATGCGTGTTATTGTTAAGTTCTAACAACAACAATTACCATCACGGATTCATTATCCATCTGCTTGAGACTCGATGAAATCCTTGAAAACGTGCAAGATATCGAAAGAAAAAAGGAAAAAGTTGTCGAGTGATAAGTTTTAGATAGCAAACAACACTTGAGAACGATGCAATTGTCAATGTTGGAGAAAGTATTGTGAATAAAATAAATGAATGTGTGTAAAATGGACGAATAGAATGTAAGTAAGCAAGTAAGCAAATGAGCAAGCAAGCAATGTAGAACCAGAACTGTTGTGATCTTTTTTGCATCATAATGTCAGATTTTTTCAAGCAGAATTGGTTTGTAGCAAAACTTCTGGAATATAAAATTTGTGAAGTAAAAGCGTTTTGCATCTCGTTATGTTTTGTTATATTGTGTTATTGCTTTGCTAGCGTTAGAATAATTGCTTAAGCGGTTGATGATCCATCCATTCATTCTATACATCCAGTTCTCTACCCTCAAAATTACTTGCATTCTCGTAACAAACAGAAATTTTAACTAAAGACGCAACTAGATTTATAGCTACAACTGCTTACTCGTTTTTTCTTTTTCCAACACTATTATTACTATAAATACAACATATTTAGGTAGGTTGTTTTGGCCTCAGAAGCAGTTTGCAATTACTAGAGTAAAAGCATAAACGTGCTCGAACTCTAGCTCAAACTTTAGCCTATTAGCTTGAGCCCAAGTTTTTATCTACACTTGAACTGGTGCTGCTCTCGTTCCTGCTGCTGCTGCTGATCTCTGCATTGCAAAATGAATTTGTGTACTAAATACTAATACGTTGTATACATAAATATTCATCTATCTTTTTCTCTCTCAACGTATGTGCATGTTGTAAAGTAGGCAGATTTTAGTGAAATGGAAAGGCTGTGATCATATTTTAACTTTTTACTTTACGTTGAAACTTCACACTATCTGCAAGTTCCTCCCCCTACTTTTGCACCTGTCTTTTCCGTCTTTAAGGCACAATAAACTGAAGGTAGTAATCAGTTACGGGCAGCCACAGCACTATCAGATAGTTATTTTATCGGTTGAAAGAAGGAGAACTTTTGTTTCAGGAAGAATTTGCAAAATTCAATTTTCTTCGGGTCATCCACTTCATTCTTTTTTTGTTCTATCAGCTTATCGAAATAATTTGTTCTGAACCGATTTTTCCAACTATTATTATTATTATTTACTAAACGACAATAAAACAAACATATAAGGCTGAAACAAGCGTAACTTGCTAGTTATCTAGTCATGGAGTACGAAAAAGATCCAGCATGGCCTTATTTACGGCAATCGAACGAGCAGATGATTGCGGTATTTGTTTACAAGCTTATTTATTTATTTATTTATTCACTCCACTTTTAAAACTGTAATACAAAATTTTGAATTATATAAACAGAAGTAATTCGCGCCACTAATCCTTCCTCTAACATACTTGCCCACAATCTTTATTTTTCGCTGTAGAAAGCTGACCTTGAACATTAATTATTTGATAACAATTTGTTCTAATAATAATTAAAAGCGTATTTTATTAAATATTACTATCTAAAAACTTTGTAATTTATTTTCTTATACAAAATATAGTTTTTACTTGAAATAAAAAAATATTTACACTCATTTTTTTGAGAGACTTTAAAAAATGTCAGCAAATAAAATGCAAATAATTTCATCGAATACTTTCTCAAAAATATAAACAAAAACCTTCCTTTATTTGCTATTTAGATCTTTAAAATATTTACCAATCATTGTAATTGGATCAAAATTAATTGACATACAATATCTGGAGAGCAGTTTGCAATAACTCTCTCTCAAAATTTTTGACGAAACTATCTTTTTTAAAAGAATTTAATTTATTTCATTTAACAGTTAATTTATTCATAATTTAAATTATCTTAACAAATTATTAAACTGTTTATCACTCTGTATGACTACACGTCTGTAAATATTACAGAAAAAAGGATGAAAAAATTTTACGAAGTAATTTGCTGATGTGAATCTTTAGATTCTAATTATGAAGTAAGCTTTATTTAAATAAGCTTTTATTTTAATAAGATAAGCCATGCAATATTTTTATAATAGTCTATCAGCATCTTGATAATTTATGAATATCAGAAATTTTTTAGCTACTTTCATTGTCACCATTTTTTGCAAATATAAGTATTTTTCGTTAAATTATAACTGCGTATTTATTAATTAAATAATTTCAACACCACAATTTTGTCTGCATCAAACAGTTTATTTTCTTCAAAATTATCATAACAAAGTTTAGTTGCGCATTTTCATTAAAGAAATATGCTAGTGGGTGCAAGGGATTAATCTTTCTAAAATCACTCTGAAACATTTTTGAAGCATTTTATAAAAACATTCATTAAAGTTCAGAAATAAACAGATAGTAGTTTTTTAGTAGTGAAAAAGTGGAAATTTTGGAGACTATTTTTGAAATATAATTTTAGACTCTGTTCTTAAGCATATTTGGTTTTTTGTATAGTTTTGTTTGTAAAATAAGGAAATATTCATAAAATTAATCCATCATAAAAACAACTATAAATAAGGACATGAAACTTCTTCTCTTATCTCAATTCTGCTCTACACAAAGTTAGCAATTTATCAACTGATGGTGATCCTTCATATTATAACAGTTTATTAAAATGAAATGTTTGACGGAATAAAATATGTTTAATGATAAAAAGTTCGAAAAAATTCTGCAGTTTTTATACGAAAGCAATATTTGTCATTTCTGTTTATTTCCGTTATTTCTACAAAATGTTTACTAAAATGCATAGCCTATAAATGATCATTGAATGAAGTAAGTGAAGAAGAAATTAGCCAACAAATAATCGTGATAATTTGTGGCTATCATTTAAGTAATATACAGGATTATACTGAAACCTCTGTATCTTTTTCTTTATAATTTTTTCTTTTTCAGATTCTTCTTATGCTGTTATATTGATATTCTCCGTATCCAACAAAATTCTCTTTACAGTTTAATTGATTTCAATTTCATACCTCTATGATAAATTGCTTAAAGTGATGATTTAACATAAATTAGCATCAGAAATTAAATACTGGAACAAAAAAAAATATTAATTTGTATTTTAAAAGAAGCTCCTATAAGTTTAAAGTTCATTTGTTTGTAGGATCAATCGAAACCGTATGATTCGAAAAAAAACGTATGGATTCCAGATGCGGAGGATGGTTACATCGCAGCTGAAGTAAAAGCTACTAAAGGGGACATGGTTACTGTAGTTTCCGGTCGAGGAAATGAAGTATTTTACTTTTTAAATTTTCATTTTAGTAAATGCATATTAAATAAAGATAACAATATGGAGAAAGCATTAAGATTAATAAATTTTTTTGATTTTCAATTAAAGATTCAAAATACACTTTCTTCTTGAACAATTTAATAATTAAATTTTAGGCAATTTTCAATTACTGAAGTTGCACTTATTGAAAATGCTATACACTTAAAAATAATGAATTAACGAATTCAATCTACTTTTTTAAAATAAATTTGCAATAATTTCAAGTTTTTGAGAACTTTTGTTGCCTTAGACCCATATATGTTTAAAACTAATGAAAACATATTTTATAAGACTTAAATAATTTCAACTGTAGTTTTCTTTAAAGAAAAATTTATATGTACTATTTACATTGAGATAGGTAACTTCAAAAATAATTGTTAGCTCATAAACACTTTCTTTTAGATAACGCTGAAAGCAGAAATCGTGCAAGAGATGAATCCTCCTAAATTTGAAAAAACTGAGGACATGTCAAATTTGACATTTCTTAACGATGCTTCTGTCTTACACAACTTACGAGCACGTTATGGTCAAATGATGATTTATGTAAGTAATTACGCGACATGTTATCAAAAAAATTTGCAAGGAGCATATACACTGGCATCAATACTTTGAGATTTTTTTGTTAACATTATCTAATGGAATCAGCAAAGATGTAAAATTATCATTATTTTACTAAGGCTTAACAAATTCTTACTATTTATGTGAAAGAAGCAAAGTTTTGAAGAAATTAAAATAATAATTTCTATTTTTTGTCTACTTTAATTAAAACTCAAATATTTTCAAATCGTGTTTTTTAGCGAATATTTTTGATAAGGAAAAGCTATATCATCATCATCATACATCAGCAGACAACATATATGGTTGATAATAATTTGTATCTAATAATATCAAAATTTGAATTTGATTTTGCAGACATATTCGGGATTGTTCTGTGTTGTAATCAATCCTTATAAGCGGTTGCCAATTTATGAACCATCAGTGGCGGAAATGTATATGGGTAAACGGAGGACTGAAATGCCACCACATTTATTCGCTGTATCTGATGAAGCCTACCGCAATATGTTAATAGATCATGAAAATCAATCAATGTTAATCACGGGAGAATCTGGCGCTGGAAAGACTGAAAATACCAAAAAGGTTTTTTCTCTTACTCATAACTATCAAAATAAAAATTGTTCTTTTTGTATTAAATGAGATACAAAAATATATCAAATAAGTTAGTAATAATTTCAAAACAATGATAGCAAGTTTAATTCAAATCAAAACACTAAAGAAAATGTTTGAGACAAAAACCTGTCCAACTTTGTAGTAGTTTATTGAATAGAATTCATTAATAATGTATTCTAGGTCATTGCCTACTTTGCCACTGTAGGTGCATCTCAACAAGAAGCAGCTCAGAAAGCAAACAAGCAACCAGAAGCAGCTCCAGATCAGCCAGCAAAAAAGAAAGTCACTTTAGAAGATCAGATTGTGCAGACAAATCCTGTTTTGGAAGCATTTGGTAATGCTAAAACTGTTCGTAATAATAATTCATCACGATTTGGCAAATTCATTCGAATCCATTTCTCTAAAAAAGGTCGCGTTGCATCCTGTGACATCGAGCATTGTAAGTCTAGCATTTTGTTATTCCTTTACAATCATTCTTTTTAATTTGCGGTGGCAAATTATAAAATGGGAGAATTTTTTACAACATTCGAAAAAGAAATCGCTAGTTTCACTTGGAACGATGCTTTTCGACTTGTGCATTCTTTCCTTCGACATCTAACTTAAAATATGCTTATTGTCAAAAAAAGTAATTAAAGATCATGGTCCAAACGTATAATCTTAGTTTTTCCAAACGTATAATCTTAGTTTTTTCATATGATGCAGCAATGAGAAGTTAGAGAGTGCTGCTCAAAAAAAAAACCTTACATCCAAAATACAAAACTGATCGAAAATATTGTAGATTTACTGGAGAAATCACGTGTAATTCGACAGGCACCTGGTGAAAGATGTTATCATATCTTTTATCAAATCTTTTCTGATCACATTGCATCGCTAAAGAAAGATTTAATGCTGGACAAACCTCTAAAAGATTATTACTTTGTTGCACAAGCAGAACTCACTATTGATGGTGTGAATGATAAGGAAGAACACAAATTGACAGATGAAGCGTTTGATATTTTGCATTTTACTCCAGAAGAAAAAATGAATTGCTATAAGTTAGTAGCAGCAATGATGCATATGGGGAATATGAAGTTCAAGCAACGTCCACGAGAAGAACAAGCAGAGCCTGATGGTACTGATGAGGCGGAGAAAGCTTCTGCCATGTATGGTTTAAATCATGAAGAGTTTCTGAAAGCTTTGACTAAACCAAAAGTTAAAGTGGGAAATGAATGGGTGCATAAAGGTCAAAACATTGACCAAGTTACTTGGGCTGTTGGAGCCATGGCCAAAGGCTTGTATTCAAGAACCTTCAACTGGCTTGTTAAAAAATGTAATATTACACTAGATCAAAAGGGTATTTCGCGGGATTTCTTCATTGGAGTTTTGGATATTGCTGGATTTGAAATTTTTGATGTAAGTTTTTCAGTTTTGAATTACGAATTTCAGTTATTATAATTTTATAACTTGATATTCGAAATTGAAAGAAGAAACTCTATTAATGCACAACTTTTGTGGCCATTTTTTAAAAAAAACTGCTTTGTAAAAAATTTATTGTCAAGCAAAATCAATAAAAATTTCCCTCTTTAATAAGTAATGCTGCTCTAGAAATCTGTATTTCTGATACCATAAACATGATTCCAAATTTTTAATTTCAAGAATGTAAATGTGAAGCATTTTCAATTTTGAATGTGAGATATAATATTTTTTCAGTTTAACTCATTCGAGCAACTCTGGATCAATTTTGTAAATGAAAAATTGCAACAATTTTTCAACCATCACATGTTTGTGCTTGAACAGGAAGAATACGCACGTGAGGGCATTCAGTGGACATTTATTGATTTCGGCTTAGATTTGCAAGCTTGCATTGAATTAATTGAAAAACCATTAGGAATTCTGTCAATGTTAGATGAAGAATGTATTGTACCTAAAGCAACTGATCTTACTCTTGCACAAAAATTAAACGATCAGCATTTGGGCAAGCATCCTAATTTTGAAAAACCGAAGCCACCGAAAGGAAAGCAAGGTGAAGCACATTTTGCTATGAGACACTATGCGGGTACTGTGCGATACAATGTATCAAATTGGCTTGAGAAGAATAAAGATCCTCTCAACGATACTGTAGTTGCTGTGATGAAGCACTCAACCGGAAACGCATTACTGAACGAAATCTGGCAAGATTATACAACACAAGAAGAAGCTGCTGCTGCTGCTAAAGGTTGACTTTTTCTCGTGCAATATTTTTTGCTTGAATTTTTAATAATACAAATAATTGCATACATCCGTAATTTTTTGTAGAAGAAGCACTCAACAAAATGATAGAAAAGATAATAAAAATTCAGTTATAAAATGATGGTCAGTGTTGTAGAATTTCAAGTAATGCAAGAATTTTCGGTATTATCTTTTACAAAATGAGGTCATTTGTTTAGAGTGTATTTAAATAACGTGTATGATAAGAAAGCTAATACATGGAAGAGTGAATTTTGAGCGAGCAATTATTTTTGTAACTCAAAAGACTTTATTAATAAATATATTGAAATACTTTGCAAAAAGAAAAGCAATTATTTATTTTGCATACAATGCGATGCAAAAAATTAATCTCAAACAAAATGAAACTAAACGATTCAAACGTGAATGAGTAATTATTCTTGTATGAAAACAAAATTTTGTGATAACAGTGTAATTATGCATACAATGATTAAATTTTTTATGCACCAAGTTTCCTGAAATGACACCTTTACACTGAATGCCAAAGAACGATTTTAGAAGGCGGACCAGGTAAGAAGAAGGGCAAGTCAGGATCATTCATGACCGTTTCTATGTTGTACCGTGAATCACTAAATAATCTGATGACGATGTTGAACATGACACATCCACACTTCATCCGTTGTATTATTCCCAATGAGAAAAAAACATCTGGTTTGCTGGATGCAGCTTTAGTACTGAACCAGTTGACATGTAATGGTGTGCTGGAAGGTATTCGTATCTGCCGCAAAGGCTTCCCAAATAGGTTTGTAAATCAAAACATTTATAATGTCTTTAACAAAGTCACTTAATTAGTTTATTTTTCATTGTTTTTCAATAGTTCATATTTAAGTAAAAAGTAAGGTGTTATTGGTAAAATTGCTTTACATTTGAATGAAAAAAAATTAATTCCACTGCAGCCAATGCTTTGCTCTCAGTAATTTTTTTTTTTTTTGAGAAAAAAGTGCATCTGGAAAACAGAGTATTTGTTTGTTATTCAAATTAAAAGTAGCTGTTATTAAAAGTCATATTCAAATACAAAAAGAATACATAAAATTGGATGAGCAAAATTTGTCAGATCTTTCTGATTACTAATAATAATCTATGATTTACAGGATGTTGCACAAAGATTTTAAAATACGTTACTCAATACTAGCCGCAGATGAATCAGTTAGTGCAACGGAGCCGACTAAAGTAGCGAACGCAATGCTCGATAAACTCGTTAAGAATGGTGTTTTAACACAAGAGAACTTTCGAATTGGTGAAACAAAAGTATTCTTCAAAGCAGGTGTATTAGCTCACTTGGAAGATGTTCGAGATGAAGCACTAAAATCTGTAATAACGAAACTACAAGCGCAAGTTAAGTGGTATTTGGGTATAATTGACAGAAAACGACGCATTGAGCAGAAAGCTGGCATGATAGTTTTACAACGCAATGTGCGAAGTTGGTGCTCGTTAAGAATGTGGAATTGGTTCAAGTTGTATACTAATGTACGACCAATGTTGAAGGAAGGCAAGATTGCTGAAGAAATGGAAAAACTGCAAGAGAAACTGAAATCTCTAGAAGAAACACTTCAGAAAGAAGGAAATTTGAAAAACGAACTAGATGAATCTTCCAAAAAAATGGAAACTGAAAAAGCTGAATTATTTGAGCAACTTGAAGCTATCAAGAATAAATTGCTTACATCCGAAGGACGCCTTGCAGAAATGGACGGATTAAAAAGTGACACACAAAAAAGACTTGAGGTAAGTTGACATATCTTAGCAACATCGATTAATTGGTTTCTATATTTCATTTAGAATAAGTCTACAGTATTAGTAAAAAGCGAACCTGAATAATTTGTTAGTATTGAAAATATTTGTGGACTTCATCATTCCACTGATGCTAATTGTGGCTAGTGGTTCAAAATTTTAGCAAGGATTTTATAGATAATGATGTTGGAATCATTGAGTGGTATCAAAGCACTTTGTCATTTTGTTACTGAAATTGTTTAATGTATGTGTTTTTTAGGAATTAAACGAGCAGCTAGCTGATGTTGAAGATCAGAATGCTGAGATTCAGCGAGCAAAGAAAAAGGTTGAAGGAGAAATTGATGCGTTAAAAAAGCAAATACAAGATTTGGAAATGAGCGTACGTAAAGCAGAGATGGAAAAACAATCGAAAGATCATCAGATTCGATCTCTTCAAGATGAATTACAGCAGCAAGAAGACACAATCACGAAAGTGAAAAAAGAAATTAAGCATCAAGAAGAAATGAACAAAAAAATCATTGAGGATTTACAAAATGAGGAAGATAAAACAAATCACTTAAATAAAATTAAAAATAAACTAGATCAAACTCTTATTGATTTAGAAGATAATCTCGAACGTGAAAGACGAGCAAAATCAGATGCCGAGAAATCTAAAAGGAAAGTGGAGGGGGAATTGAAAATAGCGCAGGAAACAATTGATGAAGCGACACGTCAAAGACGTGATCTAGAAAATAATATGAAACGAAAGGAAACTGAAATGAATGCGCTCAGTAGCAGACTAGAAGATGAGCAAGGAACAATTAGTAGATTGCAAAGGCAAATCAAAGAATTACAAAGTCGTACTGCAGAATTGGAAGATGAAGTGGAAAATGAGCGACAATCTCGTTCAAAGACAGACAAAGCTCGATCAGACATTCAACGTGAACTAGACGAATTGAATGATCGGTTAGACGAACAAGGTGGTGCTACTGCAGCTCAAATTGAAATCAACAAAAAGCGAGAAGCTGAATTAGCTAAACTACGTCGTGATATTGAAGAAGCAAATCTGAGTCATGAAGGTCAGATTGTTTCTCTGCGGAAGAAGCATACAGATGCTGTAGCTGAATTAACAGATCAGTTAGATCAGATACAAAAGCAGAAGCAAAAACTTGAAAAAGATAAAACACAAATCGTTCGAAATACTGAAGATTTAGCTGCTCAATTAGATGCCGAAAGTTCTGCGAAGGTAAGCAATGAAAAACTTGTTAAACAGTTTGAGCTACAGTTGAATGATTTGCAAGCTAAATCTGATGAGCAATCTCGTCAATTACAAGATTTCAATTTGATGCGGAATCGTTTGACGAATGAAAATGGGGATCTCAGCAGACAATTAGAAGATGTGGAAGAACAGGTTGCTAGCTTGCAAAGGATTAAAATGCAGCTTACACAACAACTTGAAGATGTTCGATCCGCGGCGGATGAAGAAGTCCGTGAGCGACAAGCGCTTGCAGCTCAAGTGAAAAATATTCAGATAGAAGTTGAACAAGCACACAACAATTTAGAAGATGAAATTGAATCCAAGAATGAAGTAGCACGACAGTTAAGCAAAGCAAACGCTGAAATTCAGCAGTGGCAGTCGCGTTTCGAACAAGATGGCATGCTTCAAGCAAGCGAAGTGGAAGAAGTTCGACGTAAGCAAGCCATTAAAATAAATGAATTACAAGAAGCCCTGGAACAGGCCAATCAGAAGATTGCATCTTTGGATAAGGCGAAGTCACGCTTACTTGGTGACTTAGACGATGCTCAAGTTGATGTAGAACGGGCAAATGCAACAGCCAGTCATTTGGAAAAGAAACAAAAAGGCTTTGATGCTGTAAGTCCTATTAAGATTTTGCTAATATACATACAATTTGTCTTGAACAAACGTGCCAAGAAAAGGTGAAAAAGGTTATAAGGGTGTATGTACAAGTTAAGTAGCTAGTAATGTTAACACATTCATGTTGATTTATCTTCATGTCATAAACGTTTTACTTCATTATGACAAAATATTACGAACGAAAAACTATGAAGGATAGCTTTGTGAACTTTGCTAGTACAAATTAAATTCTAATGAATGTCAAAAATGATTTTGAAAAAATAAGAAATGCAATAAGTAACAACTATTGCAGTAGTATTTGCAGCTTGTTGATGAATGGAAAAAGAAAACGGATGATTTGGCAGCTGAACTTGACGGTGCTCAACGTGAAACTCGTAATCTTTCCACAGATTTGTTTAAAATGAAGACAATGCATGAAGAGTTATTGGAAACCATTGAAGGATTACGTAGGGAGAATAAAGGTTTAAGTAATGAAATCAAAGATCTTACTGATCAGCTAGGCGAAGGTGGACGTTCTCAGCATGATATGCAGAAAGCAATCCGTCGATTAGAAATTGAAAAAGAAGAATTACAGCGTGCTCTTGACGAGGCAGAAGGTGATGTATTTACTTTCAACTTCTAATTCGAATGATGAATTAAATATTATTGAAACTAAACTTTAAATATTTATTAGAATATGAATTATTTTCCTCGTTTTCAATGACAGATAACTTTTACTAAAGTTGTAATTTTATAGGAGCATTAGAAGCTGAAGAAAGCAAAGTAATGCGAGCTCAAGTCGAAGTATCACAGATTCGTTCAGAAATTGAGAAAAGGATACAAGAAAAAGAGGAAGATTTTGATAATACCCGACGAAATCATCAGCGAGCGTTGGAGTCTATGCAAGCTTCGCTAGAAGCAGAAGCAAAGAGTAAAAATGAGCTCCTTCGGGTGAAAAAGAAGCTTGAATCAGATATTAACGAACTTGAAATCACATTGGATCACGCAAATAAAGCAAATGCTGATGCGCAGAAGAATTTGAAACGATGTATGGAGCAAATACGTGAAATACAAGCACAAGTTTGTAATTTAAACTCAAAATTTGAGATTATTATAGTAATTGCTAATTATTTGAAAAATCAAAAAATTTTTACAAATTTTTACTTTAAAGCACTTTTCTTTACTTTTAATAAATTAATTTGAATGATTCAGGAATGTCAAATCACTAACTGTGTTTTGTTGAAAACTATAAAACAGCGAGCTAAACTAAATTTATGCTTAGCAAAAATAATTATTGAAGATCGAAGAAGAGCAGCGGCAACGCGATGAAATGAAGCAGCAGTATTACAGTGCTGAAAAACGTGCACAAATGTTAGAAGCTGAGAAAGATGAAATTGCCCAATCATTGGAGCAAGCAGAAAGATCACGGAAACAAGCAGAATTTGAATCTTCTGAAAGTCGAGATCAAGCTAATGAGTTGAATATGCAAGTATGCAATTTGAGTGCTGCCAAGAGGAAAGCTGAAGGAGAACTGCAGGCAAGATTTCCTGTAAATATGTTATTTTATAAAAAATTTGTTGCGATTTTTAGAAATATTTTCATGCACGTTCTTTTTTCATTTACTCATGATTGTGACAAAGTTTAATAAAGTTTTCTATTGCGCATTAAAACTGAAATTATTTCAGGCAATACACGCAGACATGGATGAGACACTTAATGAGTTCCGAGCATCAGAAGAACGAAGCAAGAAGGCGCTATCTGACGTTGAAAGGCTTGCTGAAGAGTATCGACAGGAAAAAGAACATGGTTTGCATATTGAACGAATGAAAAAAGGTCTTGAAGCACAAATCAAAGAAATACAAGTAAGCTTATTCAATTAATTTTCAGTCTTATTTCAAATTGTAATTTGGAATCGGCAACTCTTTACAAACTTTCTCTGTTGATTACACTTAAAATTTCTTAATGCTCATTAAAATTTGTTAAACTAAAAGGAATAAAAAAAATTTTTAGTCTGATTATGTATAAGAAGCGTGAATGCACAAATGAACTCTTAAAGAAATTATCTCTGAAAATTCAATTTAACACAAAATTCGATAATAGAAGCAGTTTCTTATACATTTGCATAAAGGTAAAATGTTGAATTTCAGATACAATTGGAAGAAGCTGAACAAGTGGCACTGAAGGGAGGCAAGAAAGTAATCTCGAAATTAGAGCAGCGTATTCACGATCTTGAAAGTGAGCTTGATGGTGAACAACATCGTTTTCAAGATGCTAATAAAAATGTTGCAAAATCAGAAAGGCGAGTGCGTGAATTGCAATTCCAAGTAGAAGAAGATAAGAAGAATTATGAACGCTTGCAAGATCTCGTTGACAAACTTCAGAGCAAAATTAAGACCCAGAAAAAGCAGTTAGAAGAAGCTGTAAGCCTATTTCTATAGCAATTATTTCGTACTTATTTCCATCTTTCAAGGTTACTTCAAAGAAATTTATTTCGAATATTCATTATTATTTTGAACTTTTAAAACTTTGTAATGCATTTTGATGAAATAATAATAATATCAGAATATGTTCACTAGTTGTTTTTTTAACAGCAAAGATCTAAAAAATGCACAAATTTGCTAAAATGATTCGATTTTCAAATTTGCTTGAAACTATATTGACATAGATTATGTGACGGCTATGAAATACTTTCTGCTTTTACAGGAAGAGTTAGCCAGCTTGAATTTACAAAAGTATCGGCAAATTCAGCATCAATTAGAAGATGCTGAAGAACGTGCAGAAAACGCCGAAAGTTCAGTCTCCAAGATGCGGTCAATGAGTCGAACAGCAATGTCAGCAGCACCGGGATCAGGGCTACAACAAACTCGTTCCACTACCTTACTGCATTCAGCAACTCGTAATCGAGTTTCCATGTCGAATTTCACTGACTATTAGCTGTCAATTCTTGAGCTTATAAAAATTAGAAGTAAAATTGTATTTCAGTTATCCATGCAATCTGTGTAACATTGATCCAGTCTTTGCTTTCAACTTTCAACTCCATTTCATGCGTAGTTTCTCAGAAAGGTATTACACTTTTGTCGCTATTGTGAATGTCTTCGAATGCAATAAATAGATGAAAGTAAAGTAAAAAGTTACTTATAATTTTGCGTTTAACAGCAAAATGTTGGCTGATTCGATGAAACAACCGAGCAATTTTTTTAATGGTTGACAATGAAGATCTCTCCTCAAGAAGCAAAACAGAACCCCATGTCATACTTGATGAAAAGACATAAACTTTCTTGGAAAATTCAAATTAAGTGTGATTCTTTGCTCGTAGGAAATATATCCTTACTATTAACTATTGTCAATTTCAAGTTAAGGCAGTTAATTAGATACAAGTAAAAATTAGCCAGTTATGCAGGTACTGGAGATATTAAGAAATAATTTATATGCAATTATTAAAAAATATAATATTTTCATACATAATCACTTAAAATAATAAACATTCTAAATTGATGTATGATTTCCCAGTTTAATATGTCATTTACAGAAGTGAATGAAACACAGCAAGTTCCTTTCAATGGCTGAAAGTCAGTCATATAAAAACAATTATGGTACGAATTATTTGCAATAACAACACATTAACAATTATAAATATAATGAAGAAGACCAAAATGTTTACGAATATTTGATTCAATTTATTCAGTTCTTGGACGTTTCTGCTCAACAACCAACGATAGTGGTGAATGTGGAGATGAAACTTTTCCAGAAGTTCTATCACTTAAACCGGCTGGACTGCAACAGTCTACTGGTGAAGTAATCTAGAATAAAGTTTACAAAATGTAAAGTATTGAGCAGCAAGAAATAAATGAATCGTATAGCGTTTGGACATGACTTTCAACTAAATAACTGTACAAAAAAAGGAACTTAGCTTGATCATCGCCGTTCTCATTATGATTATTAATAGTACGTTGGTCAATGTTTTAAATGACTGAAAATAAAGTAATTAGCTCTTACGGTAAGTGGAAGAACGCCAGTTTGTGCTCGTAGTTTTAGGAAGCAATCGTGACATCGAGGATGATCTAAGCTTGTACTGATAATCAGATATTCATGATGACGCTGAAGATCAATTTCAAGTTCATGAAGTTTATGTAAGCATCAAGTAAAAATATTGCTTATATTTTTCTAATTTTCGTTATCCCAACAAAATTTGCCTCTTCAGTTGTATGCTTAAATATGATGTAAAAATTTTCGAATAATTGTACATTTCAGTAAGCAAAACTATTTGAATAGATGTGACTTATTATGATGCCTAAATGTTCAAACTTTTTACATTTCAACGTTTATTTAAATTGTAGAATAAAAAGTTTGGTTGGGATACGTTAATATAATGACTGGTTTTTTAATAAACAAAACTTTTCGGAAAATATCTAGCATTAAGTTATTATTTATTTGTTTATTTATTTGTTTATTTATTTATTTATTTATTTATTATTATTATTATTATTATCATTATTATCATTTTTTTATTAACGATTTTTTATCGTTTACTTTTTTATTGTAATACCAATTATTGCTGCACAAGATCAAAAATTTCATAGCACAGAAAATGTAATTTGATGTCATTAAAATTTTTAGACAAATTTAATTTGTGCTCTTTAAAATGCTCAAATAAATCATAAGCATTTTTGCTAGTAAGTTCTCTCAAAATGAGCAGCAGAAAACTAAAGTGATAATCTAAACATGCCGAGAATGATGAAAAAAGATACAGTATAACATTTTGTAAAATAATTTTTTATTGCTCTTTTATAACTTTTCTTTTCAAAAAGCAGCAGTAACTAAACTATTCTTTTTACTTTTTTTTATCTAAAAATCAAATTTTTCTTTTTTAAAAATATAAACATTTCATTCTATACAAAATACTTTTTGCTGATCAAATTGTTCCGTCTTAAAGTTCTAATAAATACTTTCTTTCAGAAATGTGCAATTTATCGCTCTTATTTGCCAAAAAAAACAAAAAAAAAAGTTTATGTTCACAGTATGATTTTTTTTATTTCCATTTAAATACTATCTAACGAAATTGATAAACTTCACTTTATTGCTAACTTAAAATATGCATGCAGTCAATTATTCTGAATTGTAAAAATTACCTCGCAGAATCTACAAAAATTGCTGCTGTTTCCTGCGAACTGCTCTTGCATATCATTTTTTTTCACACCTGTGCTTGCAACTGTTGAGCTCATCATCATTGAGTTTGTATTACTATTTGTTGGACAATTGAGTTGTTGACTGCTTGAATCTTCTCGAGATCCACGATTCTTCACTATAACTTTTCAACTAATTTTACAATCTCATTTATCCTTCAAGTAAAGTTTACAATCAAATTAAACAAAATATTTGCAATCTCCAGATACTAATTATAAGTATGAATTATGAAAATATTCACATTAGCATTATAAAAATAAAAACATTTACATCCAAGTCTTTTCTGCTGATTTAATCGAATACGAAGTAATTCATGTTCTCGTTTTCTTCGACATTGTTCGGATATCGGCGACAGCACTGAGTTTTCTGCTGTCTTTTTCTGATCTTTCAATCTAAAAATGAATTTTCTAGACTAAATTATTATGCATGTAATCATTAACATAATAAGATTGGAAAAATGATCCAATCAATATGGTTAAAGATAAAATTAACATTTACCCTGCAATATTTTTTATAAGTCTTGATTTTTCTAGTTCAATATGTCCAGTCCAGTCATGTTCTGAGTCCAATTTTTCATCACAAAGTAAGCATATCGGATTACCATCTTCATCTGTTTGTAATTCTAAAATTAGTTAGTTTATTTTGCTTACATATCACAATATTGACTAACATAACACATGATAAATTTAAATTAATTTTTTAATACTTTATTATTTTAAATAATTTGTCACACATTAGAAGTGGTAGCATGAATCAGAATGATACTATATTCCACAGTTAATGCAGTGATATCAGAAATATCATTTTCCTTTCATTTCATGATAATAATGTTAGCTACCATTTTTAAAGTACGATATAGAATAACACGTTTTTTTTTTCATAATAAAAACATTTCGCCATAGTTTTTAAAGAGATATTTTAATGATTCAGATTCAGTACGATGATAATGATAATAAAAGTGACAATTAAAATAGTTATCAAAAAAAAAATTAACGATAATAATATTGCAATTGTCAAAGACTCAAAATAATTTTATATTACGTAAGACATCTGATAATTTTCTGGAAAATAAGTTCGTAAAAATGTAAAAGTTTCTGTTGATCGCTTAGAAGACTTGGATAATTCTGAAAATATTTTTACATTTTATTTTGGAAGAATGCTGTATTCTTTTTTGCATTTACAAGTAAATATCTTTATGTTATTGTTACCATAAATGGTTACTTTTTCATGGAATTTATGATTTATCATTACGTCATATATTATTAAATGTTGTTTGTAGGAATATGTATTATTTAAGTCATATTATGTGAAGAAAAATGGTACTGATAACCAAGCAAAGTTGTGCAAAAAGGTTGCTGTATATTAGAACTATTTTATGAGCAGAAACTTACAAAAATTTTAGTTTAAAAATAATATTGTAAACAGAGCACTTTACTGCCAAATTACACGTTTACAAGTAATGAATAAAGTCAGTCTAAATAAGTGGTATAAATAAAACGAAAAATAACAGCCCACCAATAAAAATGATTCCTGATTAAAATCAAATGTTTGTGTTTATCAACGTATAAATGTGATGGAAATGGGTGTGAATACACATTAATCCAATATGGAAGATTTACAATGATTTAATGGTTTGTTTAAATCACATTTAAGACAACGTTAGGTATTGCGTATGCTAATTTTTACGATTTTCAAATTGACAAATGTCAGGCTGATGATGTTTTTTGTATTATTATACTGCTCTTTCAATCATTTTTTCTACACATTAAAGTATAGACTAAAATAGCAAAGTAAATAATAAAATACCAAGCATATATTGTAAAAATTTTTATGCAGTGAGTTTCTGCAATTATCTACTTGCATTCAAATATTCAAATGAACTTATTTAACTTGAATTACTAAAATTGTTATTATTTTATTATTTTCAGGTCAAAATTGTGCAGAAATTCAGACAACTATGCTAAAACGTTTTTGGGATCCTGAAGAAGCTTTTCTGACTTTGAAAAATCATAAGTAATATCAAGTTAGATTACCATTTAATTTATGAGATCAAAGAATACTGATAGAACAAATTAATCCCATAGTTTTGCTCATACATAGTTACTATCATTCAAAAATGATTGAAATAAACCTTTGATAGGCTGGAATTATTTGGTCATATACATTGTACCTATTATATAGTAATGTATTATGATGATGTATACTACTATCAAAATTAGCTAAAATATTAATTTTTGACTAAATTTTTTTTGAGACTAAAATTTTTAGCAAAATAATTTCCAAATTAAAATGAATCAAATAATTTATTATCTATTTAGAATGTAGCATTTCTTTAACTTTAGATATTTCAATTGCTTTACTTTTGTTTTCTTGTTACAACTTTGGTACCGTTTTGTATTGCTAATATAAACTCAAAGTTTACGCATATCCAAAGTTGCAGTTTTTGTTATTGTAAATGTATGTTTCCCAGAGTTAAAAAAACAAGTATCAAAAGTATTCTGAAGTTGGCATAACATTTTCAAAAAAGTGATGATGAAAAGAAGAGTTGGCTAATTTGCATTTGTATGCCAATTTAATGTAAATGCAAACAAGATGCGATAGATCAGTTATGAATAAGTGATAGTAGAAATGGCGCTGACACTTTTAATAAATTCTTATTTTCTGAAGTATTACAAAAAATTTAATTAAACTGCAAAGCGATTATTTTGTTTTAACGAAATCCAAATTTGAGCATTTTTTGAAACAGTTTTTGTAACATTTTTCATTTGTTTGAACAAAATTATTGTATTTTAATAATTTAATACTGATTTTTTACAATTTATAACTGCATTGAAAAATGAACAAATATGTTTTTATATGAAATGGTAACTTGAATTATTTTTAATTTTGATGATTTGTTTGAAAAATAGCAGCAAATGATTATATTTGACTTGTTTGGAAAATAACTCATGTTGCCATTTTATACTTAAGTTTCTAGCTTACTTAAGTATAAAATAGCAACTAAGACAGACAAATTTTTATTAATTTGTAGATAATACAAGCAAGACTTGGTTCAGCTAGAATCTTCCCTTCAATAAATATTGTTATCAAGATAGTGAATAATTATCACACTATGTTATCAAGATAGTGAATAATTATCACAATTATCACGCAATTTTAGAAGCAAGTTTAGTTTCAGCTGCTTTTAACTCAAATAAATAATGTCATAATTATTTCTTTTAAGATATACAAATAAAAAATCTAATAACAAACGCAAATTACTACTTCATGCCAATACTGTGATTCTTTAAAGGGAAAATTTAAAATTTATTTGATTACTACGAAGTGCTAAATCTAAAAAGTCAAATGTCTCAAATGTGCGAAAAGTCGTAAAAGAATCTACGGGATACTCCTGGGAAATTTATGTTTAATTGAGACAACATTCAGTGTTATTTACGGCGGTACTAATAAAAGTAATAAAAGTAGTAGTACTAGCCCGACATCCTTTTATTACTGAAAGCCACCAATGATTAAATTAAATTTTATATTTTGTCCAGTAATGATGAATATAGGAGTTTTATTGAAGTTATTGTAAACGAAATAAATGATCTACGTTTACAAATACAATTTTGAATAAAATT